AGGGAGCTCGCTCTTAATAGGGAGCTCGGACTCCCAGTAGGGAGCTTGCTCTTAATAGGGAGCTCGGGCTCAGTAGTGAGCTTGGACTTGCTTCCGATGTTCGCTTCGGGCGCTCTACTGTCCCGAGTTGCTTGCCTTTGCCACGTGTCGGGCGATTGCGAGGTCGGGCCAAATTTCCCTTCATCAGTAGTCTTTGGGACCAATGAGATCTATGAAAACCAAGAAAGTATAGATCTAGTAATGGAATTTGCTTTTTATATGACATTTTTGTACGTATAAATAAAATAGGGAGAGATGATTGGACTAATTAAGGCCCTGTTTAATTAGGCTAGGACTGGTTTTGAAAGTTATATAAAGCTGAAGAAACATCTTTCATGGTTTGGTAATTGTTCTTTGGAGTTCAAATCAGCACCCCACAAGACTGCCCCCACATCTCTGCCGTGTATTGGGAATATCTCCTGATGATAATACCAGAAATGATGATATCATCATTAGGAGATATGTATTTAGCTTTTATACCATTTTATGGAAATTAAAGCTCAAAGAAGCCAAAAATTCAAGCTCTAATTAATTAATTAATTAATTAAAGCTTAATATTTCGTTGTAAGTCTCAATTTAATAATCAATGTTTTAAAAATACTCAAAAGTGAAACCACTTTTTTCTATTGAATAGCGGATCCACAATTTAACTTTCTAGGTCAAACAGGTCAATCCATAATTTAACGAATTAGATAATAAAAATATAAAAATAAATAAATATGCAAAAATATAAAATAATCATAGAAATTTTGATAAAATTGGACATATTTGTAATATTGTATATCAATTCAATACAAAGAAGTATGATAAATGAGAATTATTGTTATTACTGTTGAAAATGATTAAAAATTTTAAAAAATAAGGAGATATAATGTCTACCTAGTGACCCACTACATCTATCTATCTATCTATATTATATATAAAAGTATGAATGCAATGTGAAACTTTTTGGACTAAAATTATTCCCTATTTCTTTGTTTCAGAAATGGTATAAAAGCCATTTTGTTATATCTTTAATGCCAACTTTAATGCTACTAGAATGCTTATAATTGTGCATTTAGTTCATCTCTAATGGTAAGGGTTAAAAATGTAACTTTAATTATTACTTCCGTCATCATTTAATCCCCTCTCATTAAGTCTTATACTTAAATTACTCTCATTTCTCTTATTAAATAGAATTTTGTCAAAATTTTTAACAATATAAACCCATATATTTTAAAACTGACTCAAAAACAAAACCATTTTTAATCCAAGTGGTGGCTAAACAATTCAATCATCCATATCAAATTGATCAACCCATGAAATCATAATTAGGTAATAAAATTTTTAAAATATAAATAAATATAGAAACTTACAAAAATGTAAAAAAAAAGACATACTTATGATATTTTTATTAATCAAATAAAAAAATGTGTAATAAACAAGAATTATTTTTATTGGTAACGAAAATGAAATATATAATTTAGAACTGACAAAAAATAAAATTATTTTACTGTTTAACAAAGATCAATAGTTCAAATTTTGGGTCAAACACGTTAATCTTTAATGTCATAAATAAATAATAAAAGCTAATAAAATATAAAAATACAAAAATTGAAAAAGAATACATGAATTTTACAAAAAAAAAAAAAACATTCAAGCACATGTATAATATCATATATCTATCATATTAACCAAAAAGTAAGTATGACATATTAGAATTATTTTTACACACAAAAATACAAAAAAGTTATAGAAAAAATTGAACACATTTAAAATTCTATATTTACACTACTATTAAAAATATGAATAAGATTGTGAAACTTTCTTTTGACTAAAATACTTATTTTTGAATTTAGTCCCAATTTAACTGTGTAGTTTAAATTGTAAGTTGAATTACTACTTTTCACCCCATTCAAATCCCTCTATTCAAATCTTACATTTCTTTGATAAATGAACAAAGAAATACACCAAAAAGATTAAATATTATAAAAAAAAAAGAATCTAGCCAAGCAAGTGGGCCTATCAATAATACTTGAAACTTCACAACTTGATCCGATTACCACATATTTGGATGAGGTGTTTATGTAATCATATTTGGATCAACAATCTGATTAATAATTAAAAAACAAACAAATAAAAATATATAAAATTTATAGAAAAATTGGATACATTATTACTATTATTATCATCATCTATAATTACCACATGCAAAGCACATGCACACTTACTAGTTTTAAAAATCATTTATTGTAGTTTTAATGCCAACTTTAATGGCTTCTATAATGACCATATTTGTGTATTGTTTAAAATGTAACTTTAATTATTACCTTCCACCTCATTTAATTCCCTCTCATTAAGTCTTATACTTAAGGTATTAAATCTCATTTTCTCTTATTAATTCTTATATTTTTAAGTTGTTTTTCACTAACTAGATTTATGTCAATATTTTTAACAATATAAAATCATTTTTTTTTAAATTGAGTCAAAAACAAAACCATTCTTTATCCAAGTGGTGGCTAAGCAATTCAACCATCCAAATCAAATTGATCAATCTATGAAGTCATAGTTAGGTAATAAATTTTTAAGATATAAATAAATATAGAAATTTACAAAAAGTGTAAAAAAAATTTGACACATGTATGATATTTTTATTAATCAAATTAGAAAAATAAGTTTAATAAACAAGAATAATTTTTATTCATGATGAAAATGAAATACGTAATTTACAATTGAAAAAAATGAAATATAAAAATTAATAATAAAAAGTTCAACTTTTGGGTCAAATTTATTAACCTTCAATGTCATAAATAAATAATAAAAATGCATATTTTTTTTTAAAAATCATTTAGGCACATGTATAATATCATGTATTTATCATGTTAAACAAAAAACAAGTGTGACATATTAGAATTATTTTTATACACAAAAATACAAATAAAAAACTATAGAAAAAATTGAACACAACTATAGTTCTATATTTACACTACTATTAAAAATATGAATAAAATTGTCCAAATTTCTTTTGACTAAAATCAAGGTTTTAAAAATCGATGTAAAAACGGAACAAGTTTGGGTTCTGATTTCTGGGTCAGGGGTCCAACCATTTAGTTTGAGTGGGTCAAATCAATAAGATGTAAAATATAATGTAACTTTTATTTTGACCATGAGATTAGGATTAGGTTAAATTCCATCGTATATATATATATATAGAGGGGAGTGTAAGACTATGAAAAGGAGGCAACTGGTTAAAGCTGAGAAGTTAAAAAAAAAAAAAAAGAAAAGAAGAAGAAGAAGAAGGAAACATCATTGGAGGTGGTTGTCACCATGTTCACTGATCATTGTTGCATAACTGCTTTGCTTTGAGAAGAAGAAGAAGTCGTCGGCGACTATCTCCATGTTCATCATCACTACTACTACAACATTATATTCCCTCTTCTTACATCTCTCTCATTTCTCTAAATCTCTCTAAAATTTTGCTTCATCAGTGATTTGGTGTATCTTAAATTTTAATATAAGATCCGTGTTTATTTCTCATCTCTTGCATTGTTTTTTTGATTTCTACATTGGAATTGCATTTTTTTTTTTTTTTGCTTTTACAACTTAAAAAGAATCATAGAAATGAGAAAACTCAAAATCAAAATAGAAAAACTAAAAACCCTAACTAATTTTGGTCATTAGGAATAATTAAACAAGATTATGAGATTTGAAAGTTTGTTTTCAATTATTTTATTTTCTAAGTTTTATTTTAAAAAATAAAAAAGTGGAATTAGTTTGAAAGCGACACAAGAACCATTAATTGGGTTGAACATTTTAACATTTAAATAGTTCGAGTTAACAGTTCTCTAACCATTTCAACAACTTTTTGTAAAATAGCAGTTCAAGGCCAAAACGGAATTAGTGACTTAATCGATTCTCGGGCCAAAATGGTTCAACCATTTCGTCTAGTCTGGTTTTTAATGAAATGACTAAAATACTCATTTTGGAATTTAGTCTCCATTTAATTGTAAGGTTTAAATTATAACTTGAACTACTACTTTTTGCCTCATTCCCTCCATTTAAATCTTGCACTTATTTTTTGATAAATGAACAAAAGAAAAAAAAAGATAAAACACTACAAAAGAAGAGTTTTGCGAAGCAGGTAGGCATGCCAATGATACTTGAAACTTCACAATTCGATCTGATTATTACATATTCGGATAAGGTGTTTATGTAATCAGATTTGAGTTTTGCAATATGCATCTGATTAATAATAAAAAACAAGAAAAAATATAAAAACAAAAAATACAAAATACATAAAGTTTATAGAAAATTTTGGATTTATTATTACTATAATTATCACCATCTAGAATAGATACGTGCAAAGCATGTGCACACTTACTAGTACTATATATAAAAGTGTGAATGTAGTATGGAAGTTTTTTTTGGACTAAAATTACCATCTATTTCTTTTCTTGGGAAAGGGCATAAAAGTCATTTTATTATAGCTTTAATGGCTACTAAAATTCTCATATTTGTTTATTTAATTCATCTCTAATTGTAAGGGTTGAAAATGTAATTTCAATTATTACTTTTCACCTCATTTAATATCCTCTAATTAAGTCCTTAAGCTATTAAGTCTCATTTTCTCTTTTTAAATTCTATATTTTGAAGTTATTTTTTACTAATAAATGCTACTAATTAGATCTATGTCAATATTTTTAACATTATACATCCATATATTTTAAAATTGACTAAAAAATAAAACTATTTTTTATCCAAATGGTGATTAAGCAATTCAACCATCCAAATCAAATTGATTAAATCTTAATTATGCTTTAGGGTTGTGAAGTAAAAAAGGTTTGAAAAAAGGATTCAACATAAATAGATTTTAAATATATAAGGCATAACATTATTGGAGAAACTTCTTATTCTTCTTGTGCATTCAAGCATTTGGAGAAATTGTGTACAAATCTGAGATGGACATTTATTGTGATATTTGATCTTAAGTGTGAAACCATTTTATTTTGAACGTAAACAATTTGGATGACTGCTAATATCATGAAAAATTATATTGCCTTGCATCATTAAAGAATCCTTGGTCTCAAGATGCTCAATAGGTGTACCAACCTTTTGCTTACCATAAGTTTTCATTGCAACAATCATTTTTCATTCAATCCAAAATTTTTCACCCTTCTGTTGTTAAAAAAAAAAAAGAAGGGATCAAAGGGGTAAACAATAATCTTATCAAACTTTAGATAATAAGAATAAAGTGCAGATAATAATGAGAAATTACTTGAAGAGTATTAGCTTAACAGTTGGACATAAAATAGCTAAGGATTGTATATCAATGCCAACTATTAGAATGTGCTATTCTCTCATGAAATATATAAATAATTTAGAGCATAAGAGAGAATCATAAATAGCAACTTATCAATTGGTTAACAACATTTGTCAACTTTTGGAACTCATACCACTAGAAGTAAAATATTCTCATCACAAAATGAATATAAGTAATTAATTTCAGATGCGAAATCATTCACATGATATATCAATTGGAAAAATAAAACACACATTCATAATCCATTCCAATTAATTTGCCAAAAAAGATACCTTAACTAATTTCAGCATTGGAATACTTTGGGGGTTGAAAACTTAAGGCTGTGTTTGGTTTGAATGAAAAAAAGTAGGGAAAGAAAGGGAAAGAAAAAGAAACTTTTACAAACCTTGTATAGGTTTCCCTACTTCATAAATGCCTTTGTCAGAAAATAGCATCCTTCTCTTTTTCTTTTCATCTCATCAAAACACATCGATATATAATAAGTATAAAAATCACACTAGAGAGAAATAAAAAAAATATCACAACAGTTGGGAAATAATTAACATAACTAACTTCGTCAACTGAGTATGTGTGAGCCAAGTATAATCTCTAGCAATTTGAGACATCTTTTAACTTATTGGCTATTTGCTTGGGGAAATGAGTGATCTAAGGGTATCTTACATTCATGTTTAATCAATATAATGAAAATTATCCAGATTTAGAACTTGCATCTAATTTCTTATTATATATAAATAATAAACAAGCAAAATAACATGAAACATCAAAGTTTTCAATTATTCAATTAAAACATGTAGGAAACATAATACTGAACCCTACCCCACAACCAACCCCACCCCAAAATTCATTTTCAGAAAACAAATGAAAAAAGAAAAGAAAACCATGCCATCCAGGCGGATAGGGGTGGGTATATATCACCGGGTAGAGTGAAAAACTGAAAATTACCATCGGATTAAATATAGGATAGAACAAGAGAAAGTAAGATGCACAAAAAGGTAAGTAGTTCAAGTTTACATTTTACCCTCCCAATTGGAGAAACCAAATTAATTAAAAATAGGTGTACTTATGTAAAAAAATGTCCTGAAGCATGGCAATCATATCATGTTTGAACAAAAAATAATAATAATAATAATAATCCCTGAAAGAAAATCTAGACCCATTAAATGGTTTAATTGTTAGTATTTAGAAAACCTCCTTGGCTGCACATTTAGGCTGTTTTTGGTTTGAAAGAAAAAAAGTGAAGGAAAAGACGGAAAATGTAATGAAATCTTTACAAACCTTGTAAAGGTTTTTTTTCATTCCTTTCCTTTCCTTTTCCTACTTTTTCTTTCAAACTAAATACAGCCTTAATTAACATCTTATCTTTCCTACATCATCTCCCTTGTTTTTCCTTAAAGAAAATGTGAAATTTACATGGCTTTTAAAGCCGGTCTAGATCGAACGGTCAGACCAAAAAAACTGGGAACCAGTCAGGTCCTTTTACCCCAAAACTATTATTTTGCCAAAAACCATTGATTTGGTTAATAAACCGTTGATCCGAATGGTCAAACCATTCAAACCGTCCAACGGTTTTGATCATTTTTTATTTTTTCTCAGAACGAATCATCCATTCGATTTGAACAGTTGGACCATTAGACTCGGGAACTGGACCCCTAACCGATTCATTGTCCGATTCAATTTTAAAAACCTTAGAAATTTATGTAGTGACTTTTAATTCATCAAGAATTTGTATTATCATTAAAAATGCCTCTAAGTAATCCATTTCAGAAAGGATGAAAGTTATTGTTCCTTGTTCCACCACCAAGGGTGAAGCCGAAGCCTTCTAATGGGGACTCTCCCTTTGATGGAAACATGGCTATCGAATACTATTTGGCATGGAAGTTGAAGGGGACACGTCATAAAGTATCAAATTAATGCTTATCGGTGAATGTAGATAAATAACCATGCAACAAATTAGAATATCTATATAATTGAGTACAAGTACCTATATTAAACCGGTTCCCCTATCAGTCTGTAATTTTTTGGACCAAAACGCTGAAAAAGTACACCATTATATATTATTGCAAATTGTTTTTAATTTGCTAATCATAATAATCGTATAATGTGGTCTATTGTACTAGGATTGTTTGTTGAAACTGCCCACATTGTAATCTTGTTTTTAAGATTTTATAAATGGAATCAGCTTAACAATTTTCAAAAACTCAAAATGAAGCCTTGGTTTAAAGAGAAAAGAAAAGAATATAAAAAAAAGAAAAAAAAGAGAGAGAGAATAGATAGGAAAAATTGAATAAAGAAGATTATTATGCAAAGAAACAGAAAAGAAATATCCATTCCAAATTTCCAATCGAAGTAAAACCTTCTTTTTAGTAGTTTTAACTATTTAGTCCATTCCCACAAATCTTAGTTCCATCGTACAGTTGGGGTAGGAGCCAGCTCGGAATTGATGCTAATACATGGACAGGTATTGGTGTTTATGTGTAAGTGTTTGAAATTTTAAATTATTATAATTTTGTAATGGAATTCAGAATTCTGAAATGGAATGCAGTCTATTTATCCCTTTTATTCTAAAACATGGCCTACAAAACATATTTTCACATTGGCCAGTTCGGAATTGGTGCCAATACATGAATGGGTATTGGTGTTTATGTGAAAATTTTTGAAATTTTAAATTATTATAATTTTGTAATGGAATTCATAATTCTGAAATGGAATACATAGAAATAATTTTGTAATTTTGTAATGTTATTATTATAACATTACAAAATTATTATAATTTTGTAATGTTATAAATCATATAATAAAAACATAAAATACAAAGAAATAAAAATATAAAAAAATATTAAAAGATTGATTATGTTTTTTATATTATATATTTGATATATTAAATAAAAATAAACATGGTAAATGAAGATTATTATTATTAATGATGAAAATGGCTAAAACTACAAAAACAAAAATCCATTTAATATCTAGCATATGACCCACAAACCTAGTCCAACTGTAAACTGTTCAATGATTCTATTGGATGTATCCTAAATCATTGATTGGGTGGCAGGTTGTCCAAACATTCCTTACAACATTATACCCATTTTAAGGGTTCGATTTGAGTGTCACCTCAAATATTCCATCATTATTAATCTAGAAGCGGCTTCTCTGTATTTATACTTTTATTAGAAGTCCAACTTCTTACTTCTCCATTTTTGTGTGGCTTTAGTTTTATTAAATAGTTAATTAAGTTATTTATCCAATAAGATCCAAATATTGCAAATTTGGTGTACTATAATAATCATCTCAATTTATGATCGGATGTAGGTTTTCTGTTTCTATGGGTAAATCTTGGTTTTATGTTATTTATTTTTTTTTTGTATGTAGGTGTAGTAGGATTAGAGTATATATCATCTATTATATTAGGGGTTCAAGTTTTTATTTAAGTTTAATTTCCATATGGGTCACAGGTTTTCCTTATTAGTCATTAAGTAAAGTTGTATTCAAATTTCAAGTTTAGATTCGAGTAAGGGAGATTCATGCATGGTTTTTAAAAGCTGACCGGACAAGAAAATCAGGAATTAATCAGGATCGGTTTTGTTTTATTTCATAACTGTTACTTTGTCAAAAATCATTGATTTGATTAATAAACCATTGACTCGGGTAACCATTCAAACCGTCTAACGGTTTTGGCTGTTTTTTATTTTTAAAAATTTTTATTATTTTTTTGTCAGAATAGGTCGTCCATTCAGTTCGAATTATTAGACCATTCAACCCGAGAACCAGACCCCTGACCAATTTGTTGTCTAATTCAGTTTTATAAACCTTGGATTCATGCATGATCTTATTTTAGCTCTATACACAATGGAGTCATGTATTTGAATTTTCAGAAGATTTAGCTACGGCCACTAAAATGGTGGCTCAATACCAAATATAGCTACAGATTTTATTCATCCATGGTTATAATTCAATTTTTACCTATAAACAAACTAAATCCGTAATTATAGACTTCTATTTTTTAGCATAGATTTATATTTGTATCTACAAACATCTCAAAACCATAAATGATAGCTACAAATAACTTAAAAATCGTAGCTAAAAATACACATATGCAAGCTTAAGCCCAAGCATAGATGCTAGGTATATGCTAGTTTTAACTATAAATTCTATCATTCATATGTATTACATATAGCCACAGCGATAGTAGCTATTTTATTATCGCAATTAGTCCATAACTATAGACTTATAGCTACATTTTTTTTTTAATTTATAGGTTATAGATGTATTTTCTTGTGCTGGAAGGACAAAGTATAGAAAAAAAAAAGACATCAATAAAAATTATAAGAAAAAATTTAAATACTAACAATTTAATAATGGATTAACACTAAATAAAATAATTGAGATAGAATTCATGGAGTAAGATCCATTGACGGATGATAAGGCCATAAGGGTCAGTACATTGTACGACATCAGCTAAACTTGGACAAAGACTATTAGGTGAATAGTGTCGGATCTTGGAAGGTGAAAGTCCTGCAACAAGCACGCATAGGAAGCTAGGTTGTCAACATCTCCATTGTTGGACAATGGATCCCACTCTTGATATGGCCATAATAGACTCTCACACTTGTTGACATATTCAATGACCAGTCAGAATATTCTTTTGGTAAGTCTTTTTGGAAAGGATATTTTGATAGTTCTGATAGTTAAAAGATGCATTGAGCTTTTTTGTATTAAGATTTAAGCAGTTTGAAGTCCATTTGGTTAAGATATATCTTTCCAAGCATCTTTCTACATGAAAACAAATAGAAAAAAAAAAATCGCAAAAGTTTCTTTTGAAGCTTCCCCAAAATCGTCAATTTTAGACTTCTCAGGT